AGCAGGACTGTTTATAAGCATATCTGTCACCTCAACGGAAACACAGTTGTCCCTGAATCTGCCAGGGGAACTGTTAAGGTGTCAGCAGATCTTTAAGTGCCAGTACAATGGGATATCATTCACTGCTCATACAGGATTGTCAACCTCAGCGCAGAGTCAAGCAGAAAGAGAACTTGGCAGACACGGCCACTGATTTTTTGGCACAGCTTTATACAAGTGAGCTATCCAAACACAGGCACATCTATGTCAGGGGCCAGTTTTGTAAAAGATGAAGGGAAGGTTTTTTAGGAAAAGATCTGGAAATGTAGGTCAGTATGAGAGAGATATGGACTGAATTCATCCCAAATTACCCATTTTCCAATCTCAAATACCCCACTGCCCGCTAGTTAAAAGACCCAATCCAACCCAACACAAAAACCATTGGGCATATCCCTCAACTGATGGGGGCAGCAATGGCTCTATTGAGCTAAGTCACACAACAGCCCAGGAAAAGTCAGCCTTCCAGAAAATAGAGTTTGTCCTCCAGAACTGAGGTTGGATATTAACTGAAATAAGTAAAGGCAAACCAAGTAAGTTTTTGAGGTCTCCAGGCACAACAGCTACAAAAGGTAAGTACCAGTTGAGGCAGAAAAAATCAATCTCACGTAAGTGGAAGCAGCACAGATAAAACTGACTAACCATTGCCTGAGTAGTTTTCCTCATGAAAGACCACCTGTCCTGACCATCTGTCAGCTCAAGTACAAAACCTGGCCACTTATATCCCACCCTCCTCCCCTCCCTGCTACACCTACAGTCATGACAACCTCGAATGGCAAAGCTGAAATGTCGTAAGAAGTGTAACAACTCTCAGCTACATATGTCAAAAGTGGATGCCAAAAATAGGATAGGATGGAATGAAAGTAGCACACGGCACCAGGAAGGGTGGTTTCCTCTCAAAAATAAAAACTTTAAAGAACAAAATATATTCATTACATTTAGCATACACCAAGAGAGAAGACAATTTGGCACTAGAAGGCAGAAAAACCTTTTCCTTCTGGAAGGACAGCATAAAGAAACTAGATGTACTCAACTGCCTCACTGCAAGCAATGCATCCCTCGTTTCAAGGTTACTTGTCCCCCAGACGAGAAGGGACTACTTTGAAGAGAAAGCTGTTAGAGAAAAAGCAGCTGCTGCCATCTCATGGCAGGTCTGTATCCTGGCAGCAGAAACACGGGTCCCGTTGCTCCCGGCCACTTACCTCTTGTAGGCTGAATGGTCGTTCTTCACACTGCACTTCATATTTTTCAACTCATCCAGTACTGCGAACATGTTGATGAATTTGCCGAGGGTAATCAGATATGCTTCAGACACAAAGTCCTTCCTCCTCTCTGCATGGCACAGGCGCCTCACCTCCCCGCAAAACCGTTCAATTGCGTTTCTCTAGTGGGGAAAACAGAGAAGGAATAAAAGCCATGATGTTTCCAGGAAAAAAAATAATTAAAAAATTCATTGCTTAACTGGAGCTGATTCAATGAAAAGCAGCACTCAAGCAGAAAAATGTTTCAAGCATGCAAGGCTAAGAAGGCACAGGCTTTTCAGCTCCACACCTGTGTACTTGCTCTATGCTGCGAGTGTCACCAGTGACTTTTCCCATAGAGCTTGTCTGGCACAAACAGCAAGGTTCTTCTTTGCAGATCAAAGTAATAAAAGTTTTAAATCTTTAAAACAAGTGATTTCATGCTCTTTAGTGAGGAAATTAATATGTATTTAAAGGCAGATGATGGTAAGTTCTCTTAAAACAAAAAAAAATCCACAGCGAACTGTACATGCCAAGTCTCGAAATCATACTGGCACATGCTTATTTGAGGGCTTATTTCCAAGCATGCATCAGGGTCATTTGAGATGGAGATTACAAAAAAGACAGCAATTTGGAATGTAAAGAGAAATCTGTTCTGATTTTAAAGCACTAATCTCCTTGAAAGAAAGGAGATTGTTCATACTCCGTGAGATTCCCCAGTTGGGGAAGATGTCCGGAAATACTACATTTCATTTAGTCTCATCTTCCTGTGTGTTCTGGGGCTTGCAGGCTCTAGCTGCTTCAGCCTCCTCTGAATAATGCCTAGAAACATCTTCAGTCCCATTGAACCAAATGGCAAGCTGCCAGCACGGGAGGAGGAGGCAGGACAGACTGCTATTCTCCAGCACCCGTGCCGCTCGGGTGGCTGGCAGGTCACAACAACTGGGTTAGTTGCCTCAAGTATGAATTTCCACAGCAAAGTTGCACCTGCTGCTCCAGGGCCCAGTGTTGTGCATCACTCATTCTCCAACAAACATCTTCTGTGCTGAAATGCTTTTATGTATTCATGTGAAACATATTATATTTCTTTTTCCTTTCTTCGCAAATTGCCAGATCTCTGTCCCCATGTGTTACATAGGGACCATATGCAATTGCCTTTGGTTTTATGGTGAAAGTCTTTAACAGAGAACCACATGAAGTTTTTAAGATATGCATTAGAAATTTTGCCCTTCTGGGGGACAACACGGGTTGGGTTTTTTCTGAAGTGACTTGGGTGTCTGAGCACACAATATCAGGTATACAAAATAATAATATAAAAATATAAGCCATGACAATTTTCATTTCTGTTCCTTTTACCTGAAAATACATAAAATTCATCAGTTTTGTGACTTCTGGCTCCAGAACTTCCACAGTTTTCTCATAAATTTCTACTCTGTTAGGCTGCTCATTGCACTTGACCTAAAGATAATTAAAGAGATCGTTACAATTGGAACTTTTCCTGATAAAGCCTCAGAAACTAATATCCTTAGAAAATTCATCATGACTCTAAAAAGACAATGTATTAACTTCTGGGTTTGGTAATTTTATGCTAGTCTTCTAAGCTTAACTGTGTGGGAAAAAAAAAAAAAAAAATCTAAGATTTTTTCTATTACCTCACAGCAAATAATTTAGATGTCAAATACCCCTGTATGGTTAGGCCAATATTTTCCCCACATTAAGCCACTTGCTTAAAATCACACACTAAAATAGGGCCAGAACCAGAAATTAAAACAGATCCCCTGATATCCACTCTGAACATTTAAATGACAGGATAAGCCTTCAATTTTGGTACAAAAATAATTGCGTTACAAACTCCTTATAAAGCAAGCAGGAGTCAACTCATGCTTATAATTTTGTTCAGTTTTCTGACGTATCTTAATGTTCTTCCCTCTTCACACCTGTACAACCATTCCCTGACACTTGAGGCTAACCTATTCACCAGGGTTTATTTTTACATACAGATGAAGAAAACACCATGTAGCACTGACATGTAGAAAATTACTACTTAACATGTCTAGCAAATTAAATGTTTAACCTGAATGTTAATTGTTACATGCTACTCTACTTGTTAATACTTCAATTCAGAACAGGTTTAAAGTTGGGGAGTGGGAAGTGTCCATTCTCTTGAATGAAATTTTGATCTCAAAGAGCTCTCTGACAATCAAAGGTTTTTCTTCTAGAGCATATTACCTCTGTAGTACTCTTGAACCAATTAGAAAGACTGATAAAAAAACATAAGGTATTGCTATAGATGCTTTATAATATAAATACATAACTAAATCAAACTGGTCCCCAAGTGCTGAAAGACATTATTTTATGGCATACCCAGCTTAACAATTCAGGAGTCAAAGCAGAGTAAATTTCAGAACCCACTGACAAAGTTTTATTTGTCAAAATCCACACCAAAATAAGACAGAAGTTCACATGTTGCATGACAGTTTAATTTTCATCCTTTACCTGAGGAATGGCTCTTGAGCAGCTTCTCCATGTGTATAACATGACTGCATATTCTTGACCTTCTTCTAGCATTTCATTCTGTAAAAAAGACACTCAGTACAATTAGGCATTGTAATACAAAAGGATTAAATCTGCTTGTCTTCCATCATTCCAAACCCTTGTCCAAACAAATATATTTATCTTATCATACTGTATAGGTACACATATATATTGCAAGCTGAATGACACATCATACTGTATGTATGTAAAATAATATTACTGTAATTCATGGGCTCAGCTGGCATGTTACATGTATCAGAGCTGACTGGCTATTGTTGTCCAGCTTGGCTAAATCCAACAGCTAAAAATTATTCCATTTATTCCCAGTCATTTATTTTAGCATCTAACCTAATTCTGAAAGAATTCACATAATCATCTTCATACCACTTGAGACAACAAATACCTATTGATCATCAATCAACAACTAGAGCAGTTATGCTTACCTAATGACAAAAACTATCATCTCCTCAGATCAGATTGATTTTTGTGTTGTTCTTTCCTCCCAAAACTAATGACACTGTTATTTATAAATATAAATTAAAATGACAATCTGAGGGGGGGTGGTGTTTGGTTGTCTTTTTAAACTTGGGCACTGCAGGTGGAATGATCAAGGATGAAAGAGTCAGCCCATGCAAAGCAATATCCTTTTTCACATGTCAAAAGAGAGGTTCCACAACATCCAAACAACGAAAACAGGTCAAGGAGTTGTCAGATAATTTAAAAAGTAGATTGGTGTAAAATTGTAACACTTTCTATAGCATGCAATCAGATGCTTAATTTCCCCCTTCCACCATTTGTGATTTGGCCTCTAGAATTACAAGACATATTATTCTGCATTTTCCAAGAGTGACATGAAACAACACACTCAGTACAGACCAGCATTTGAAGCCCACAAGTTCTTTTGTATCCCAAAGCAGCTATATCATCAGCAGAGATGGAGTTACCCGCATGAAGTCTTATCATCAATTGTGGAACTGTTAAAACCTTACACAAAAGCATGCCAACAAACAGGTAGCATACACACTCCTCAGCGAGGAAGCCAACAAAAAACCCTCCACCACCACTAAACTGACAGAGAAATAGTGGAAATCTAGGATGGAAGGTAGTTTTTCACTCAAGGTACAGCAGCTAGCTGTCAATACAACTAACTCACCTCTGAATACTGGAAAAACGCAAGCAAAAATGAAATGAAAGCAGAAAGCTTCTGAGCAATATTGGTTGATCATGAAGACAGACAACTTAAAAATTATCAAGTACACAACATGAAAAAAGAAAAGCCACACACTTTTTAATATTACTGCCTCCTGGAAGTGTTGTAGGTAACCTGGTTTCTGGTTTTCTGCAAGAAGACATGTTCCTCTCTTTTTGTTCCAACTAATGCAAAAGTATATATCTGAGCATCTACTTACCATGCTAGAATGGACTGTAGCTTGCTCAATGTATCTTGCAATGCCTGTGACAAATGCATTTCTGTCCTCAAAATTAGTGTTAAAGTTTGGCTGCAGAGAAAGTAAAATATAAATTAAATCTCTGGTAGGGGAAAGAATTTTTATATTTATTGGAAATTTGCAAATATAATCACACTTTGTTTTTGGTTGGGTTGCTTTGTTTTGTTTTTTGAAAAGCACATACTCCTCTTTTTCTGAACCACAGTGGGAAATGGAAAAACTTTTTCCTACAATGACAACATACCTGGTAAAGCAGAGATGATGGTGGGGGTTCAATACACGGTTGCTGATCTGGCAATGGTAATTCTTCCAAGAGATCCACATTGGACAAAGCATCCTCCAGTGTTACTTGAGCAGTCATTTTGCACCTGGTTAAAATATACATACATATAGTTATGTATACACGCTTACATGTAACTTCTGTTGTGTTACTATATACACAGAAAGCCTATGAAGAGCAGGGAACTACTTTTGTTGTGGAAAATATGCAGTTTCCCTTCAGACATAGTGGAGGGAAAACAGTCAAACTGAAACTCAGTTAGTTTTAGTACATTAGTTTAAAAAAAAAAAAATACTTTTAGGACTAACATCCTCCTCCTTACTGGGTTGAGAAATGTTTCTCTTCCCCCACTGCTGCACACTAGAAATACACCAAAAATAGAGGAAAGGATGATATCTAAAGCTCAGCTTTGAGTCGATGTGTATTCAAAACCTTATGCAGATACTACTACCAGTCCATCTCGAGGAGACCCAGCTGTTAAAGGTGCCAGCAGTCTCCAGTGTCTCATGTCCTAGGACATCCAGATCTGCTTTGAGTAGTTAATGATAGTGAGGCTCAAACCCCCTCAGGGTCATGGCAATCTCCATACACTCCAACTGCTGCCACTGCATGGGATTTTGAACCAAGAACAGCAACAAGAAGAAATTTGAGGAGAACAAGTGGGGTGGAACAACTCAATCATCCACTTTTGTATAATGACCTTCTCAGTGGATTATAAAATTCCTCATTCTTAAGGTAACACCTCTAATCAAGCTGTCTTGTCTTCCATGGGGCTTTGCAAGTTATTTTCCCCCATTTACCAGAGCAAAACCATGCAACTACAGAGAAAGGAGAGACTAAGCACGGCCTTTGGCTCTAGCCAGGAGGGCAGGAACACCAGAGGAGTGTCCACACCCTGGGGGAGCAGGGCCCTTCCTGGCATGTGCCACCCCCATGTGTGAGAGCTTGCCCACAACTTTAAACAACCACCATCAGACAGGTCCTTTCCTTTCTGAAACCCAGCCCAAACCTTGCTTCAAGCATATCAGGTTTTATTTAAGTAAATAAACAAACACACCCATCTTGTGCAATTTGTGATCCCTGCTGAAAAACAAGGAAGGACTAGACAGGCAGGAGTGCTGGCTGGCAGACCTGAGATGGGACACTTCCCCAGCACCTGCCTACACTCAGCTCAAGCTCCTTCACAAGAACCACGGTTATTCTCAAATTAGAGACTGGCAAAAACTACAATGTCCTCCCTTTGACAAATAAGCAAATGCCAAAAAAATCCCATGTCTGGGCAAAAGTCTGGTGAGGAGGTCAGACTCACAACAGTTTTACCCTAGAGGAAACTGAAGGGAGTTGCCAAGGAGCCAGAGTATTTTAAGTAAACAGCCTTTTAATTTTTGGCCAGGGTATCTGCAGCTCAACCATTCTCTTTCAAGCTTGAAACTTTTCCTCCTCTTAGCCTCTATATCAAAGCAGAAACACCCGGCTGTGTGGCTGCTGCAGGACGTGCCAGCAGAGGGACCGATGGGCCCACAGGTCTCTGCCCTGCTATCCTGCAGAACAGGGGATCCATCACAAAGCACTGGCCCCAACAGGGGTGTGCTACAAAAAACTGCTCCACAAACCACAGTGAAAATCAGCTGCCTGTTCCACACCAAAAATTGTTGCACCTGTCCACATAAAGGGGAGCTGTCATGGAGTTAAAGGAAAGTATCAACATCCTCTCCCAAATCCACACATCATCCTCCTCTTCCTAAAACAGGGTCTGTGGATGCTAAGAAACAAGAGCTTCCTGCTGCTCTTTGGGGGTGTGAAAGAAATATGTGAAGGTGCTTTATGCCAAGCCCTTCAGCATGATTTCCCAAAGACAAATCAGCATTTTTCGAACTGAGAAAACATCAGCCACTGGGGACCAAATGTTACAAAAGCTTTCTTGTTTTAAGGTCACTCACTGACAGCTCCACTTGGCAATTTTGCCAAAGGTATCCCTGTGCCTGCTGCTTCATTGACTGAGTCCAACCCTCCCGTTCAGCTTTTTACTCGAGTAATGAGCACCGTGAAAGAGGAAGCTGCTCCCTCCTGCCCAGTTTTGGCATGTTTGCAAACATGATGAGGTGCTTCCTCTCTGCCCTCCGAAGAGCAAGCAGTGGAGGTCTGACAAGAGCAGTGGCAGGGGGACAGCCAAAGCTCAGCCACACTCATGCCACCTTAGCTGGGAGACAACATCCCACAGCCAGGTGACAGCACCGTATGGTCCATGCCCTCTCCCTGCCTCATGCAGAAGCCTGGAGACCACAACAGAAAAAGATCTTCTTGAAATTTGGGTTTATATTCCCTCTCTTTTTTTGCTGTTTTTGTTAAAAAAAAACAAACAACAAAAAACAAACACAGCTCCAGTTTTTAGAAAACTAGAATTCCCAAGTATCAGAATTTTATCAGTTTGCCTCTTTAAGAGTAACTTATTATGAGTTGTTACAAGTGAAATTACTGGGCAGGACAGCTAATATTTTAACAGACTTCCTTTTGGCAGAAAACATATGAACCTTTAAAGACCTACTGAAAGAATTCAGAAGCTGCAGGCTGATTAGGAGTTTACCTAAATGAGAACAGATTAAAATGCTGTGGTCATACTGATAATTCCAGTTATACAAGTAAATTTACCCAAATTGTGAGAAGTACAATGCTATGTTTCCAGCTTTGTACCTAGCTGAGATTTTCCAGGAAGGATTTTCTCAGGTAGAAAACATGTGAGAATTACTTCTTTTTTCTTTTTATCTTTGTATCATAACCCATCATTACATCAGTAAAGTGAAAATGTACTCCAAGAACACATTTTCGCAGACCTACACAACTTATTAAAAAACACTCATCTGACATCCTCCCTCCACAAGAGAGGATCACATAAGCCAGCATGCTGTTTTGCTAAATTTTGGGGTGTGATGAGCACATCCAGCTTTCTAAGTAGGAGACTGCAGTGTTTGTACCAATTCTCAGCTCCTTATTCTGCAATGCAAAACAAAAAAAATCTGTCTCTAGCACAGACAAGCTTCAGCCTTATAGTGCTAAGTCCCACTGTGTTCAAGGACCAGAGGTATCAACCACAGGGTTTTTAGGGAAACTTTGGATGTCTTAGTGCAAGGCCACTACCTAGGTTAAATTAAGATTTTTTATTATTTTTTTTTTCGTTTCTGAAAGAGATGAGCATTGGCTGGGTCTCCCCTGCTCAAAAGTGCTTATGCTGCAGAGAAGCTCACTGAGCCACCTCCATCACATTTTGTCCACAAGAAAAACAAAACAAAAAGAGGCACCAGACCTTGAAGTCCCTTGAAGGTTGTTTATATTTTGACTAAACTTCAGAGCTGGCTTATTAGAATCATAGAATGTATTTGGTTGGAAGGGACCTCTAAAGGTCATCTAGTCCAACTCCCCTACAATAAGCAGGGGCATCTCCAACTAGACCAGATTGCCCAGAGCCCTGTCAAGCCTGACCATGAATGTGTCTCCAGGGATAGGGCCTCCACCACCCCTCTAGGCAACCTCTTCCACTGAAACATATTCCAATACAACATATTCCAAAGAGCTGCCAATCTATTTTAGATGTCACAATTCTGTCCTGCTGTTCACAACCACACAACTGTGTGGTATGCAGTGCCCTGCTCACAACAGTGCTCTGGTATCCAGAGGAGATAACTGTCAATCCTAATAAGACAACGTTTTCTCATCTCCAGCTTTACAGAGTAACGTTGAAGTCTTTGCAAAAGATCTATATTCTTAATTCCAAGCATATCAGAAAACAACCAGCATGTATCTCTCAGCCTTGCTCTTTAAAGCCTCCTGAGGCTTCAGGCTACTCAGAAAAAAAAAATCAACAGGAGCAAATTATGGGGAAAGGTCTTAGGGACAAAAAAATTTGAGAAGTTCCCAAAAGAAAGAATAAAAAATCTAGGAGGTAAGGACAGAGGAGAGACTAGAGGGCATTAACTTCAGAATCACTGTGAGAGGACTGCTGTAACTTTACTCAGCTCTCAAGCTCAAAGTTAAAATACCCCAAATTCTAGTGAGTTAGGTAGTTACAAAAAAACCCATAGCTTTTAATACTTCTTTCAGTGACAGAATTAAGCAGGTCAGATTATTTATAAAAGATCAAAAACACAACTCATGAACTCAGTATATGAACAGCTAAAACAGGAAAATTATGCTTGATTATGGGAGATAGTTCTTAAATGTGTTCAGCAACAGCACACACAATCCAACAGATGTTACTTGCAGCTAGCAACCAAGTAAAAATAAATAAATAAATGAACTTAGGTAACTGCAGGCTTCCTGAGACCCTGTTATAAATGCAGAAACTACCACTCAGTTCCTCATTAGCCACTGCCACAACCATTTGGCCAAGACAAATGGCCTCTAATGGCCTAAATAATCTCTCCAACGATTCCCAACATAAAAAGTTCAACCTCAAATTACTAGGTTTGATAATATCTATTTACAGATGAAAAAAAATCAAGCCCTTCACCACAAAAATTATTAGATTAAATTCTATTACAAGATCAGGAGATGATGAGGATTGTATTCATGTTAACACAAAACATTAAAAAAAACAGAACAAAACAAAAGGTGTATCTGAAAGGCATCCTGAAAACAGAAAAATAGTAAATTCAGCCCTCTGGTAAAAAGAGTAGAGAATATCAAGCTAGAGAGAAAGCAACCTTTCTTCAGAAGACACTGCTTCAGACTCTCGTGCCCTGGAAGGTAAACTTCTATGGAAAATTAAAGAAGGGTTTAGCCTACAGCATAGCAAGGGAAAGATCTGTGGAGTGAGCAGGCAATGCCATGGAAAGGGAACCCTCCCAAGCACAGATACTACGCTTGGAGGCACAGCAGCCAAGGTCACCTCCCAGGGCACTTGAGCTGATAATGTGAGCAAAGGCTCCCCTCATTTAGGCAACAGCTCAGGTGCTTGTGGATCTTGATTTCCTTTTATCATTAACCTCAAAAAAAAAGTATGCAAGAGATAATAACATAAAGGATCTGCACTCTTTTCAGCTTAACTACCAGAACGTTCCCAATTGCCTAACAGTAAAACAAGCGTT